AAGAAGTGGAATGATAGAGTTCTCATGTCTTCTGCCCAGCAGCTCCAGTAACTTTAGAGTTCCTGTGTTCCATGAGACCTCCAGGACTTTTGGGCACTAGTTGCCCTATTTGAGGTCATAATGTTACTATTAGGATGGCCAGTCAAAGTCCAGGTGCCTAGTATTTGAGAATCCCTGGGTTCAATCCCCAGCAAAAGAAAAAATAAAGAAGAAATAGCAAGGAAGTTCATCAGGTTAAAAGCAAAAGCAAGTGACCTCAGATGGTAGTCTGAGTCTACTTTAAAAAAAAAAATAGCATCAGTAAAGGTAATTATATAAATTGTATGTCAATATTAACTTACATTTGTTCTCCTTCCTCTTTTCCTCTTTTGCAATGAAGGGCATCAAACTCAGGGTCTGGCTCATGTTAGGCAAACACTCTACCATTGAGCTACACCCCCAGCTTCCTCCTTTCTTCTTTTAACTGATTTAAAAACCAATTGTATAAAATAACAAGTAGGGGCTCAAGATGTAATTGAGTAGTAGTGTGAATGCTTAGCATGAACAACACCCTGTGTAGTACAACATTCAACACTAAAAATAGCAAACGAGATGGTCATGTTGGTGCACGCCTTAATCCTAGTGACTCTGAGGCAGGAGGATCATGAGTTCAAAGCCAGCCTCAGCATCTTAATGAAGCCCTAAGCAACTCAGCAGGTAGACCCTGTCTCTAAATAAAATAGGGTCAGGGATGTGGCTTAGCGGTTAAGTGCCCTTGAATTCAACCCTAGTATACCCCCCAAAATAAATAGGATTAATATAACAAAATGGTAAATATATACTTGCTCTTCTTCAGTTTCATTAAAAGAAATAAAATTATATGAAGTAATAATGTGTTGTTGGATTGGTAACATTTATGGACATAATCTGTATAACAATAGTGCTACAAAGTGGGGAAAGTAGGGGCTGGGGTTGTAGCTCAGCAGTAGAGCGCTTGCCTTGCACATGTGGGCACCACATGAAAGTCAATAAAGATATTGTGTCCATATCAAAAAAGATCTTTTTTTTTGGAGGGGGTACCGGGATTGAACTCAGGGGCACTTGACCACTGAGCCACATCCCTAGCCTTATTTTGTATTTTAGTAAAGACAGAATTTCACTGAGTTGCTTAGAACTTGCTAAATTGCTGAGGCTGGCTTTGAACTCAAAATCCTCCTGCCTCTACTTCTTAAGCCACTGGAATTATAGGTGTGCTCCACGGCACCAGGTTTGAAAAAAGGGTGGGGAGGAACAGGGTACAGTGGCACACACCTGTAATCCCAGAGACTCAGGAGGCTGAGGCAAGAGGATTGAAAGTTCAAGGCCAGCCTCAACTATTCATTGAGAATTTCAGCAACTAAGTGAGACCCTTTCTATTAAGAAAAAAAAAAAAGAACTATATATAGCTCAGCAGTATAAGAACCCCAGGGGTTAATCATCAGTACAAAAAATAAAAAAATAAAGAAGAGGGGGGAGGGAATAGAGTGCTATAGGACTGGAATTAAATTAGTATAAATCTGAAGCTGACTCTGATAACATGTATATGGTAAGCTCTAATGCAATTACCAAGAAAATAATATTTTTAAAATTTAGGGCTAGTAGCATAGCCCAGTGGAAGAGCATTTGCCCAGCATGCATGGATTCCTAATGACACACACACACACACACACACACACACACACACACACATAAACCCAGAGTGAAATACAACTAGATATGCTAGGTTGCTCTCTAGATCTCCTCAGAGGCCCTTCCACATCCTCTGGGACATGGTATTGTCACTTGATTCTCATTTCAAGTGTGAGAAAATCTATTCAGAAAAACAAATTTCATTTATTCATGTAACCAACAATACTTGAGGTCAAGGAGGTAATAAGTGTTTTTGTCTTATGTTTACAAGTGAAGAAGTGGAATGATAGAGTTCTTCTGCCCAGCAGCTCCAGTAACCTTAGAGTTCCTGGGTTCCATGAGACCTCCAGGACTTTTGGGCACTAGTTGCCCTATTTGAGGTCATAATGTTACTATTAGGATGGCCAGTCAAAGTCCAGGTCCTTGGTGTTCCGTACAAAGAATTGAGCAAGACATACAAGTAACAGGCAAAGTACAGATTTATTGAAGGCAAAGGTGAAAGTAACCCTCTGCAAGGTTGAGGGGAGTGGGCTGAGGAAGAGAGAGCGTCTAGCCGTGCTCTGGAAATTAGTATTTTATATGCTGAGCTTTGAAGCAGTAGCTTCCCTAAACGGACCTGATTGAGGACCTTAACCCATTTTTTTCCCACCGGTGATCTTATGATACCTGATTAGAATATTTTCCAATCCGTCTCTCCATTAGTTACTTCAGAAAACCTAATTAGAATACTGCCCATTTTACCCCCATTGGTCATTTTAAAATTCTGAACTTGTGGTGGGAGTTGTCATGGTGATAAGTGCTCAGTGGCAGGAATTGTCACGGTAATGGGACTTATCCTAAACAGGAACACAATTGGTCTGTCTTGTCCTCAGCGAATGCTTCTTACACTCTGCCTCCGCCATCTTGGTATCCCTGAGCTCCCACCTAACAATAAGACTCTCAGACACCTTTTGGTAGTTCTCAACAGTCCAGGCCTCACAACAACCAGAGATTGTTATGTTCGAATTCGGGACCCCCAAATGACCACCAGAGACCAAGATCGATGTAAGCAGCAAAGAGGTGTTTATTGAGAGCTAGTTCGGTCCTCCTTGCACACACAGCAACTGATGACGCTGAGAGGCCCCGAACCCAGGGTTTGCAGCAGTTTTATACATTCTTTGGAGAAGGCAGGGACCCCCACATACATCATAGCATCTCTTAGCAAATCATCACATACTGCGGGAAAATCAAATAACAACTCTAAAACATGATTAGCACATTCACTGGTGGGAACAAGTTGGGTAGGGCTGATTGGTTACTAAAGAGGGGGATTCATTTGAACTGATTGGTTTAAGCCAAGAGGGGTGTTCTTGCTGAACTACATGGTTTCCCATCACCATAAACTACTGGGAGGGTCATCTGGCATCCCAGGTATTTCCCTGTCTCATGCTGATTGGTGGCTACTAGGGGGTTGCTATGGGTCCCCACTTAGCCTGACTGAGTCAGAGACACCTGGTGCAGCAGATCTCTCTTGTTATTTGTAGATAAACAACTTAGCAGGGTGGGAATGTGCCTAGGGGTGCTCTGTGGGTCTTTCCAAGGACGAAGGTTATGTCCCTTCCTTGGACAGCCTTTGCTCTGAGGTAGAGGCTGGTTTTTCAAGCACCTTCAGTGCTGGGAACAAGTTGGGTAAGGGTGATTGGTTAGTACAAGAGGGGGATTCGTTGTTTGAACTGATTAGTTTAAGCCACGAGAGGAGTACGTGCTGAACTACATGGTTTCCCAACTTGTTATCAACCACCATATACTCCTAGGAGGGTCATCTGGCATCCCAGGTATTTTTCCTGTCTCATGCTGATTGGTGTTTGCTAGGGGTTGGTATGGGTCCTCACCTAGCCTGAGTCAGGGACACCTGGCTTCAAAGATCTCTCCTGTAATTTGTAGATAAATGGCTCAGCAGGGTAGGAATTTGCCTAGGAGTGCTCTGTGGGTCTTTCCAAGGACAAGGGTCACGTCCCCTTCCTTGGACGTTTTGCTCTGAGGTAGAGGCTGGTTTTTCAAGATGTGATGTTGACTTCTGGGAGTAACCTCTTCCTACTGTCTGGTCCCAGCACTGTGGTATTTAGGAGTCTGGTCCCATTCTGCTTCCTAAAGTCATGGAATGGCATGGACCATCTCTTCTTTGACCTCAGACTTCAGCGTTCCTGCCACTGCCAAAGAGGGGAAATTTCTCACTTAGAGGATCCTGTAAAGGTTGTTGTGAGTGCGGGGAGTTATAGGTCTTTTTTTTTTTTTTTGATCTAGGAATCCAGCAATGTCTTGTGTTTAAATTTCCACTTGACCACGATGACAAAATGTGGTGTTTTCACCAATGAGGTTCTGAGCAGGGAAAGGGAGTCTCCTCTTCTCCTTTCTGTAGGGTTAGTTTACTATTTTCCTCTGCTTCCATTTCTTCTTTCCCCAGACTCCCTGTCAGAGAGCCCTCCAAAGAAGGATCTTGGGGTATATGAGGCCAGACACAAGCAACCCAGAGAATTCTGGAGGCTGAAAGGCAGTGGAAGGTCTTTTGGTCTGTCTATGGCATTTAAAAATATATATATATTTTAGTTGTCGATGGATCTTTTAATTATTTTTAAATTTATTTATTTACATGCGGTGCTGAGAATCGAACCCAGTGCCACACATGTCAAGCAAGCGCTCTATCATTGAGCCACAACCCCAACCCCTGGCTATGTCATCTTAAGCATTGCACTACTCTGAGCCTCCGTTTCTCTGGGTGTAAATGGCTCATTTTGTGCAGCCAGTCCGTTTTGGAGGCAAATAACCCAAGAAGGACACAGCAGGAAATAAGAGTTCCCCAAGGTGAGACCGGCAGGCTCGGCCTGCTAAACTCGGGCAAAGTCAAGTCCTGGGGCGGGTCAAGAGCTAGCCTGAGGTCAGTTCCTGCTAGAGGCTGCAGTGAAGACGGCTCGCAGCTGCTTGGACGACTTCGCCCGTCACACTCCGGCGGCCGCGCCCCTGTTAACCGCGACGCTCCGGGTCGGAGTGGGCGGGCACAACCTGCGCGGAGGAGGGACTGGCGCGGGAAGGGGCGGGCCCTCGGCTGAGCTGGGAGGAACGCGGAGCAGCGTGGGAGCGTGGCGGCGGGGAGGGGAGGTAGGCCCGGGCGCCGGAGCCCATAGGGCGGGCGGGCACGGAGAGCGGCGTGCGCTGCTGGGCGAGTGCAGGCGGCGCCGCGGGCAGCTGGGCGAGCAGCCGGGCTTTGGCGGCGCGGGGGGAGGCAGGGCTGGGAGGTACGCGCGGCTCCCCGTCTCTGCCGGTCGACCCCCGGGGGCTGTCCCCAGCTAGGTCAGCCCCTGCGGATAACACGTGTCGGCGCGTTCCCGCCGTTGTCATTTCATCGCTGTCATAGCCCCTCCTCGGGCCTGGGATCCCCGGCCCCATTATCCCTGGTGCTGAGCTGGTCTCTGCTGGGTCTTTCCTCAGCCGTCCTGTCTGCTCTGCAGCAAGCGCCCCGTAGAGGACGCTCGTCAGCACGTTCTCACCCCTGTCATCTCGCCTCTCTGCCTAGCTGCTCCTCAGGCCTGGGAACCCCGGCCCCCGACGGCCCGTTGTCCCCGCGCTCTGGTCTTTTGCTGACCGCAGGCTGGGCCTTCGCCTCTGACCTGCGCGTTTCCCCCGGCAACGCGCCGCGACCTGGGATGCAGCCCTGCAGGGCGGCGGCCAAGGAGGCGGCCGGCCGCGACGTGCTGGCCGCTGACCTCCGGTGCAGCTTCTTCGCCTCTGCGCTGCAGAGCTACAAGCGCGATTCGGTGCTTCGGCCCTTCCCCGCCTCCTATACTCGCCACAACTGTAAGGACTTCGAGGCCCTGGTGAGTGTGCTCTGTCCGCCCACTGCGTACTGGGCCAAGTGGCCTGTGCACCAAGGCAGTGGCGACTCCACCCATGTTAGTACACATGCCACCCTAGACTTTCTATTCCCAGCCTGGCCCGAGGGAAGGTTTCCACCAGGCAAAAACACTCCTAACACCCTTTGACACACTCCCAATCACTTGTTGACTGCTTCCTCGTGTCAATGACAAGTGATCCGTAAGGAGTTAAGTGAGAAATTTAATAGTTGCATAGCCCTCCACAAAATTTGTTAGCCTGACTAGCAATGGGCGGTTGATCTGAATCAGCTGTTCTGATTAAATAGGAAGTTACCCATCCCTTTGCAAATAATTAGACCCAAAGTCCCCAAAGCCACCCAGACTTTTATCTTAAGATGAAGTAATATATGGGCAGTACATTTATAAACTGTAACACATAGTGCACATGTGAGCTGTTATTTTTCTGATGAGTCACAGGGTATTTAATTTCTTGCAGAGTTCACCTTAGGATCAGCATTCCATTTATCAGTTATCTTTGTAGTCCAAATCTTTGGTGTTTCCTAGAAAGGTACAACTCATCAGATGATTTGATAAAATATAAAATGGCCTATAATCATTAAAGGCATTGAATTAGTAGTCAAAGATTTTCCCTCAAAGAAAACTCTGGGGCCTAGTTGGCTTCATTGGTGAGTTCTACCAATCACTGAGGGAATAAGCATTTCCAGTTCTATATCTATCTTCCCAAAGTATTGAAAAAGAGACTAGCTTTTTTGAAAAATAGTCTAGATACAAAATCTGTTAAGGCTGATACTAGGAAAGAAAATTATAGGTCGGTGTCATAATTTGTGAATATAAATGCAAAAATCTACACTGCATGTGTAGATTGTTGTTCTTGGGAGGGCAGAGCATTGTTGAGGTCCATTGGCAAGGTGCATTTCTGAAAGAGCAGTGTGGTGGCAGGGTGAGAGGGAAACCTGTTTAGGTGGTGTGGGGGAGAGGTTAAGATTAGAGGGACCAAACTCACTGGAGATTGATGCCCCACAATTTAGTTGCATATCATCAAGAAACATACCTCCAAATAGGCTAGAATGCTCAAACATATTGTCTTCTGCTGAAGGTCTACTTGGCAAATCAAATTGGGTTTATTTGATGAATGTGGGATACTTGTAGAGGAAGCTGTGTGTTGGTTTGATTTGTTCATGCTGTTTAAAATTTTATTTTTATGGGTTAGATCCCCAGTACCATACCAAAAAATATTAACTATGTGAGTAGTGTTTGAATATATTCTCATTATAAAAAATACAAATGACTGGGCTTAGTGGCACATGATTTTAATCCTAGCTAATCAGGAGGCCAAGGCAGAAGGATTACAAGTGAGAGGCAAGCCTGGGCAATGTAGCAATATATTGTCGGAAAATAAAAAGGGGCGGGGGTTTGGTTCAGTGGTGCACCCCTGGGTTTAATCCTAAGTACCTTAAAAACAAAAAAATTCCAAATGATATCAGTAAAGTACAAGTGCCCCTGATAGAGCTCACCCTATTCCACTCCCCTCTTCAAAGGTATCAGTTGCTCTCCGTTTGGGACATACCTTTCCCCCATTTCTATAAATCCTCAAGACACCATCGGCAACTTAAGTGGTCTCAGTTGCCTCCTTTATAGGGACAGATTGTCCCTCATTGTGCCAGTCCCATTCAGTCACCCTTTCTCTCTAGAGCCACTGGCAGACTCTAACCATCCAGTTCTGTTACTATCTTCCTTACTGGGCACCATTGTTGGGAGAATAGCTCAGTGGTTGAGTACTTGCCTAGCATGCGTGAGGCACTGCAGATTCTTGGCAGTCTGTAGGCATGGCTGGAATCGGCTGTTTCCTAAAAAAAGGCATTACCTCTGGGGGCATGCCACATGTCACATGTGTTATTGAAATGATCCGGAGAATTTGACATTCGAACCTGTATCTGACTCAAAGGTGAACTTTTGTTTTTGGTTTTTCAGTGCCAGGAATTGAACCCGGGTTCTCAGGAATGCTAGGTGTGTGTCCTACAACTGAGCCACACCTCCAGCCCCGGGATCTGCATTTTAGTAAGATCCTGGGGCACTTCATGCACATATAACAAAATCTGGAAAGCAGTATATCTGGCTTACCCTATTCCCAACTTCCATTTTGGGGCCATGTTGCTCTAATAAGGTCATGGAGGCTGGTAACCTTTTTTCATTTTCAACGAATATTTGGTTCATTTCCTTTTCAGCACCTCTACCCATGCCTAGTAACTATAACTTCTGGCCCCTTTGTAGACAAATATTTTTTTTTCAGTTGTTCGTTCTTTCCTGCTACCAAACACTTTGAGGACATTGCCTATCATCTGTACTTGAATAGCTCCAACTTTTCCTCTGTGGTAAGAATCACCTGTGGCAACATTAGGACAACAAATTCCTGAGCCTCCTCCCTAGAGCCTATGATCTGGATGGTTGCAAAGTGTCTCCCGGGCTTTCCTGTCACCTGCTCAAAGCCAGAAGTTTGAGTTGCCTCTTTCCAGCTCATCGGTCCTCTCTCTTCTTCATTGACCCCTGCTGGTTCCAGAGACTTCTGCTTCTTAAACTCCTGTGGCTGTCAGCTCTGCCCACCAGTCAGGCCTCCTCCAGTCTTCTCTCCGGTTGGATCCTTCCTTACTCCCTGTAGCAGAGGCTGCAGAGGTGTGGTCTGTGGGCAGTTTTGTTTGTTCTCTAGCATTTTAGAAATTGGGAAATTAAAACAAACAAAAATCCAGTTTGCTGATTTCTTTTTAGAATAGAAAAATCCAAGGTTGCAAGGCCTTGGTGAAACTTGTCCTCCAGCTATAGCTGGAAGTTTGTGGTTGGGCCCTTTGTAAAGCCAGGGATTCTAGTCATCAGGCCTCACCACTGTTTCCCAGACTTCCCCTTACACATTTTTTTCACCTCTCTGACCCTGGGTGCATTTGAGCTCTGGACCTACCTTTGTGTGCCTGTCTACTCACTTTTCTGCCTGTCTGCTATGCTCTCCCCCCCCCCCCCCCCAATCTGGAGTGCTCTCTGTTCAGCCTCAAAATCCTGGCCATCACTGTTGGTCCACTCCCATCCTGCCTCCTCTATAAACTCTTCTGTTTACCTTTTCTGAGTCCCCAGAGATGCTTCTTTCCTCTTGAATGCTCATTCTGCTCCATCCAGTTGTGGACAGATGCCTTTCATTGTCACGAACTGTAGATCAAAATTCTTGCCTGCATGGAGATTTTCTGTCTCTTACCTCTGTCCCATACTACACATAACATCGTTCTCCCTATCTTTGACAGGCCTTAGGCATAGGCAGCCACATCTTATTGTATTAATTGGGAAGTGGAGTGAGAATCCCAGCAACATGCAGGATTAGGCTCCCAAGCAGCTTCTTAAAGTTTACCTGATTGCTCCTTTGGGCTAAAATATTTAGGCCATTACTGAGTTTTCCCATTCATTTGGTAGGAGAGTATGTATCATGATTAGAATGAACTCTGGAGTAAGACCACCTGGCTTCATATGTCCCTGCCCTGCCACTGAATAGCTGTGTGAGGTGTGCTATGAGGTGCTCAGTGCTCCAAGCCTCAATTTCACCTTTAAGATAGGTTATTGTGAAAATAAATGAGACAGTGTGTGCACAGTATTGAGCCCTGTGCCTGGCACATGGCAAAGGCTCAACAAATAGAAGCTGTTATTGTTGTGTTTTGAACTTTGTGCCAGATTCCTGCATGGCTGCTGGGGCTCCAGGAAAAGTGAGATGTGGTTGTCTTAGCAGATTTGAGGTTGCCCCAGAGGGTCAAGTTACCAACTTGAGACTCTGCCATAATTGTTAAGTCCAGAGGTAGTGGGTGATCAGGGCAGGCTTTATAGGGGAGGTGACTTTAGGTTGGCCATGAAGACTGAGTGCAGTGCCTTGACAGGCATCAGCAGAAGTACGAAGAAAAATCATAATTTGGTGTTGGTGGGGGGGGCGGTTGGTGGCAGGAGGCACTGATAGATGGAGAGGCCAGACCAGATTCCCAAGGGCCTTATTAAGGATATGTTACTATTTAGTAGATAAAAATATAGGCCACTTAATTAAATTTTAATTTTGAGCAACAAGTAATTTTCTTAGTATAAGTATGATCCAAGTATTGCATAAATTATATTTATACTAAAAAGTTTTTAGCAGGTAGCATTGTGGTACATGCCAATAACCTCAGCTACTTGGGAGGCTGAGGTGGGAAGATTGTTTGAGCCCAAGAGTTCAACACCAGTCTGAGCAACATAGTGAGATCCATTCTATTACGGTAAATTATTTTTTAAAAAATCTGAAACATACACTTAATTGGGCAGATTGTGTTTT